CACCGTGAACAATGTCTAGAGCGCATATGTCAAAATATGTAATTTTATGTTCCTCGCAAAAGTTTGTGCATGACCGTTAAAGTTTACTTAAAGTTTACTGTATGCGGCTTAAAAGCGCATGCTGACCGTAAACTACATCTCCCACAATGCAATTCGATTGTTTGAACCTCAATGCCCATGGTACCAGGAGCTAGAGGGACATGAGGTACCGCCAGATCTGTTATTTAATTATAGACATGTGTGGTATCCACAGAAACGTCAAAGACCAAAGACCACCAAAAAAGCAAAAACGGCTTAACGATTAACAAGCAGCTAAACAGATTCCGCAAAAAGATGTAAACACAAAGCCCGGATCTCACCTATACAGGATATGCCCATAGGGTGTGAAAAGCTGACATCCCACAGATTCCGAAACGGCAGGTTTTGTCACCCTCCAACCAAAACTCACTGAATCAGCAGCAAAACAAGACCACTACACTTCACGTTTGAAAAACACTGTAATGAATTTCCACTTACTTTGCCTGCCTTGTTTCCACCCATAAATTCGCACTTCCTTCACAGCACCATCTCTGTTTGCTTCAAGACGATAGTTTCCCAATAAAATTCTCTATTTTCTGCCTTATTTGCTTGCTTATTACGCACCAATCTACCGTTGTATACAGTGTTGTCGGTCGCTGCCCTCACCCCCCCCCCCACACACACACACACACAAATTATATCTGACAAGAAAGCCTAATTTCTGCAGTTCAGCACCAAATAAATTTCAACTTTCAATATTTATACCAAATTGCGAAACGCTTAGCTATGTCTGTAATAAAACCTCTGTAACGTTGTGAAAAACGGAAGTTTGTTTTTCCACTTTCTACTATAGAAATCAGTTTTTTTATGACTACAGTTTAAAAACAACAACCACACAACAAGGAGAGTCTGGGCAATAAGCTACCAGAAAGTCTCTTGTAATTGTACACATTTATATCTTACAATTTAAGTCCAAAGAGTCATGCTGACAGAGTTCTTTCTTTGTCACAGCAGCTCTTTCTTTAACATTTAGAAAAACAGTTAAATGTGTGACTTCTTTACATTGACAGAAAGGGCAGTTTCACTGGTCCTGCCGCTTAAGATCCAAGTGGGCTGTATGTGGCCCGCAATGTAAAATTAGTTTGACACTCCTGGTCTAGATTCAGGTGACATGATTTTACCTGTTCAAAGGTGTAATTCCCATAGGAGTGCACTTACCACGTGACCGCTGATGATCAAATGTCAGTGTTATGTGGCTAGATCAGAGGGCAAAAACTGAACTTATTAACCTGAAGGTTGGGTGTTTGTACTGAACTGTTGCATTAGACTGTTTTAGTAGTAGTGAAGCAGTAGCAGGAGACTGTCAGGCAGATGGTGGTGTTCTGCAATTCAGAGCACTTTGTTTCTTAAATGTCTAGAACAGGGATTTAAAACTCATTTTACATTACGGGCCACATGCAACCCACTTTGATGTTAAGTGGGCTGGACATGTTAAACTCACCTTTGTGTCAGCGTGCAATTTCAACAATATATCTCAGTTTTTATACATGATATAGAAAAGTTACTGTACAGACAGCTCATTGCACAGACTTTTCTGTAATTATAAAACAAAGCTTTTGTTAATTTACAGGAAATAACCAGTTTTTTTTTTCTTTTACCTTAGTGTAGTATGAATACTCATGAGTGAGGTCTTCATTCGCAGCAATGCTATAAAAAACTATTAAAATACAGTTAAAAGTCTAAAACCTCGGCGTCCTTCACTTGTTCCAAAGCTATACAGTGGGCTGAACCCGAGCCTTTGTTGGGCCGATTTTGGCCCCCACCCTCATGTTTGACATCTTGATCTAGACTATATAATATTTATCTGGTCTGAGATGAACATAGACAAACTCAAATGTCGGCTTTTCGCACCCTATGGGCATATCCTGTAGACAAGATATCACAGTTACAACTCTTTGAGTAAAGTATTTTTAGCCTATATATTTTCTTTTTAGTGGGTCATTTTTCTACATGTCTTTGCCAGATCGTAATATTTCCCAATACCTAGTTTATGCACACTCTTACAAATGCGTTTTATACTGGCTTTGCACGCTTGGACTGTCCTCTCAGTGGAGATCAAAACAAGTAGTTTTATTTTGCTTTTTTTGTTTTGCTGCGAATGCTGCAGAAAACAGCAAAAAGCATGACTAATAGACATGTTTTTTTTTAAGTAAAATCCACAGCTTTAAAAATGCAAAACTAGAGAAATTTCATCATAACTGCACTGACTGTGGAAAAAATGACTTTCCGTCAGCTGACCTCACATACAGGATGTTGTCACGTCTATAGATGGAGGAATTTTTGTCACGTGTACATAGATTCAGGTTCACACTGTGAATAAAACCCAAATGTTTTTCCCTATCATGTGAGGTGAATCCATCTCATAATAACCACATGATAGAGTACACATGAAAAGGACTGACATAGGCAGTCCTTTTCTATGGATTGTTAAATTTATGAGGTGAAATGACAGCTGCCCTGCTTTTTTAATGAAGGATTTCAATGTTGTAAATCAAGCCTGAATAGCAATCTTTGACCTGTCGTTTACCGAAAGATATGTAAAGCCCAAGGTTAGAGACTCTTCGGTGTTCGCTCATCTCTGGAGTATGTATGTATACCAATGCTGCCTGTCGGGCGTCATGTCTGATGAAAAGAAGACGAGCAGACACGGTTACTTTGTTAGTATTCATAATTGTTTGTATACACAATGTATAGGAGCACCAATAAAAAAAACATCTTTTTTTTCCTCTTTTTTTTTGTCCAAACATTTTTTCCGACATTTTTTAAAAAGCCACAGATTTTTTTTCTCCATTTCTACAGAAAGCAAAGAAAGCTCTGTACATGAACAAGCAACAACAGAATTCCTCATCGTGAGCTGCAGAGTATAAACCGCCTGGCCGCTCAATCCATATCATCTCTGAAGCAAAAAAAACCAAAAATAACAATAATAATAAACATAAAAAAAAAAAAAGAAAAAAAAAAGACCAGCTGCCTGCTGCTTACCTAGGACACTACGTTACACAAACAGCTTTCGATATTTAAAACACAAGATATGTAAGAAATGTACTTTCCAAAAATTGTGAAAAAGTGCAATACAGGTTCAACTGTTTACAACTCAATAGAATATTTCCCAAATCGAGTCCGCTCCTCTTTCTCCCACTTTTGTCCGTCAACCCCCACCCTGGTCCCTCCCGACGTGCCGCCCCACAAAAACTTGTTCCTTGTTTGTATCCATACTTAAAATCTCTTACAGTTATATTGACATTCATGACGATGTACATGTATGAGAAACATGGTATTCACAAAAGTAGAGCAAATTACTATGATCGCAAATGACAAGTTTCTTTGGGTAAGAGGGTAATGAAAAACTAGTTTCTTTTTTTTTTTTCCTTTTTTTTTAAATATTGGATTTGTGTATAGAACAAGCTTCTTTTTTTTCTTCATACAAAACCATGTAAAAAAAAACAAAAAACAAATTGGGAGTCCCCTTCAAAAAGGCCAACATCTTTGCATCTGATAACATCTGTAGAAGAACCACGGTGATGGAAAAACAGCAAACACACTCCTGCGCTGCCGGGGATCGGGGATGCACGCACACACACGTGGTTCAGCAGTACCGATGCTTGAAACCAAATATTGTTTTTTTGGAAAAACAACACACATTCGACTTAACTTCTGGTATAAAACACAACTCGACTGTTGCTGTAGATGTTTTTTTTGTCATTTAGGTGGGGTGGGGGACCAGCGCCCTGAGTCCTCGGTACCCCTGACCTGCGAGGAGATCCTGTCAAGTCCCGCTGAACGATGAAGAAGCAGCTGCCGATGGTGACAGCTGAGTGACACCATCCACGCAGAGCAGAGTCGTCTCCACGGCGCCGACATACCTGCGCGTTGGTAAGGTTTTTTTTTTTTTTTTTTTTTTTTTTTAAACGGAGCTCCCGTGACAAACCAAAAACTGGAAAACACTTTCATGTACAAAGGGTGGCAACGCGACCTCAGAGAAGAATGTACTGTAGAAACGCACCAGGTCTCTCTCTCCTCTGCTGATATGAAAAACTGAGCTTCAGGACTCATTCATTATCCCACTTCCATCCCAAATAATAATAATAATAATAATAATAAAAATAATGAAATGATGGGAAACCTTAAAAACATCAACAAACAAACAAAAAACATATGTACATGTTTATAAGGATATTTATGTAAAAAATAATACAATAACATAAAAAAAACCAATGAAAAGTCATATGACACATGGGTAAAAGACAAAAGAAAAGTTGATGAATAATGTAGGCTTGGTAAAGAGGAGGAGGAGGCTGAAATCCAACGTTCACTTCACTGAAACTGTCCAATAGATATACAAAATGCACAAAGAAAACACTAATCAAACAAACACTGTGTGTAGACTGTGCCGCATGAGCACCATACATCAAAAACCAGCATATTTTTTGGACTTGACACTGAATCAACCGTCTCAAGCGAGAGTGTTCGGCACCGAAAAACAAACAAACAAACAAACAAAAAAAAAAAAGACTACCATTTTTGCTGAGGAAAAAAAAAAAAATTCACAATCTTCCGGTTGAAAGCGACCAATGTTTGTTTGTTTTTATTTTTCCTTTTTAAAAGTTCATAGTCTCTGAGAATGGTTCTTCATATAAAGATGAAGTTGTCTCACTTTTTCTTCCCTCACATGGCAATCTCCTTCCTGAGACTGAGCAAGGTAAGCCGGGGGAAAATGAAAAAGTAATTCCTACGTTTCAGTCTGGAAGTTTTGTTTTTCTCTGCAGGGGGAGACGCGAGAGTTTTTTTTTCTTTTTCGTGGGGATGAGAAGCCATTTTGTGTCCAGCAGCCTCTGGCTCCGAAGGTTTTGTTGATTTGTTTTGTATTGTTTGGTTGTGTTTTTTTCTTTAGGGTGTGTGACTTTCTGTATGTGTGTGTGGGGGGTGACAGAGAGTGTGTGGTTGTGTGTGTGTCTGTCTGTGTGTGGTGTTTTGGTGCAAGTGCATGCTCATGGCGCTGTGGTGATGGCGTTCAGGTCCTTCATCAGGCCCTCGAGGTGGGCCATCTCCTCGGTCAGCTCGTCGGGCTCGTAGCTCTGGGGGAGAGGAACAGGGTTACTGCGGGGGGCGGGGGAGGGGCAGGGGGGGAGGGAGGCAAGCACCTGGAAGGAGGGAAGGAAGAGAGCAGAGGAAAGGAAAGGAGAGGAGAGGATCAGTCAGGGATCTTTCACAGAGGACAGGGAGGAGTTTGGCAAAGGGGGTGCATGGGTGAGGTGAGGCGAGCTGGGGGGGGGGCTGGGTGGATCAATGAAACTGAAGGGTCGGAAAAGGACAAAAACAGAAAGAGGCAGCAGACAAAAGCATGACGTCGAGGAAAAAAACCAAGAGAAGCCAACACCAACATACGGTCAACAGCCAATCAAGGCAGAGAGAAGGTTCAATGGCAAAAAATTAAAAAGCATTCCAGTTACGGGTTTGTTTGTTTTTTTTTTGTTAAGATCGGTAGTTAACGGTTAAATGAAATGACCAAAGGAGAGCCGACAACGCCACAAAAAAAAGAGAAAGTAAAAACATGGTGAGATTGAATTTGGAAAGAATACAAAAAAAGAAAAACAGAGAGAGAGAGAACAAACAGAAAATGTGGTTAAAACCAATGTTCAGCTGAAAGTAACTGTATCATCCAGTGCCCAAAGTAAACCTGACATGGATTTGGAAGGAATGTGATTGGTATCATTTAAAAAAACAACCCAAAAGAAGCAGCAAAAATAATATCAAATATTCACCACCATCATCAGGCCTACCAAAAAAAAATAAATAAATAATCAGACTGCCTTACTACAAGCAGCCAGTGTGGGGCGCTGTACTCACGCTGTCTACATCTTCTAGCATCTTGCTGGTCTCTGGTACATCGGGGGCGTTGGGCACGGTGACCACCATCGGTGTTCGTGTCCTTCCTAGTGTTCCGATGGAGGCTGTTTTCACAACATGCGGGTGAGTGGGAGGCCCTGAGTGAAGAAAGGTCACACAAAAATACTACACTCAGTGAACGCAACACACACCAGTGCTTTAAAAAAAATTTTTTTTCAGCTCGCAAAGACTTTTTAAGAGCTAGTTAGAAAAATTCTGATTCAACTCTGTTTAGCTTGGTGGGTGTCAGTGATATGAGGGCTCACCGGTCTGAGCGAGCAGGGGAGTGCTGGGCAGGGCGGGAGACTCATAGGATGGGTGGCTGGAGGCTGGGATTGCAGGTACAGCGAAGCTCTTGAGAGGGTGGGCGTGGGCATGCGGGTGAGCTGAGCGGAGTGGGGGCAGGTTGCTGGAGTAGCTAGGCTCCTCCTCTGTGGTGGTGGAGCCGTGGTAGCTGCCCTCTGGGTCAGCCAGGATCTCTGAGGGGCAGGAGGCTTGGGAGGAGGCGGTGGCAGGAGGGGCGGGCTCAGAGCTGGGAGTATTCCTCACAGACTCTGGAGAGGAGGCAGCAGGTGGGGACAGTCAGAATACGGGTTTGCAGGATTAAAACATTTTTCGGCATGCCAGTGCCTGCCAACCGGCTTGTAGAAAGTTACCAAGAAAATGTCATAATTAATAATTAAAGCTGGAATTTTAGGCTTTCATTTTTGGGTTTGCTGTCGCCAATCTAAATATCTGTCATGGAACTTTCTATTTGTGAGTCTGTACACGAGAAGCTGAGAAACCTGTCTTATTTAGAATCCTGTAAATATACATATGAACATTACATCACTCAGGTTTCAGTTCATCCTATCCCAGTGGTCTTTTCTTTGCGTTTACATCTCACAGTATCCCAGTTCTATAGCAATATCCAGGTTCCTCAAAACATGAATAAGAGCATGCAAACATCTTAAGTGTTAAAAAAATAAAATAAAAAGAAAGTAGGAAAATAATTTCAAAAGCTCAGTAGCAGTAAAAAGCAAACATCTTAACATTTCTGAAGCTGCAACTTGTGGTCTACCTTTATAAATGACTTCAGGTCAGTTGAACACCAATTCAGCCTTCTATTTTTCTTTCACTATAACTAGTTATTTGTGCATTATACTGCCAAAAGTATTCACTCACACATCCAGATCAGTTCAGGTGTTCCAATCACTTCTGTGGTCACAGGTGTATAAAATCAAGCACCTATACATGAAGACTTCTTCTACACACATTTGTGAAAGAGTGGGCAGCTCTCAGGAGCTCAGTCGTAGGTACTGTGATAGGGTGCCACCTGTGCAAGTCCAATCGTGAAATTTCATCGCTGCGAAATATTCTACAGTCAACTGTGCTACTATAAAAATATGGAAATGATTAGACATGGTACAGACCTCCAAACTTCATGTGACTTTCAGATTAGCTCGAAAACAGTGTGTAGAGAGCTTCGTGGAATGGGTTTCCATGGCCAGGAGAACGGTACTTGTCTAACTGCATTGTGCCAAGTGTAAAGTTTGGTGGAGTGGGGATTATGGTGTGCGGTTGTATTTTTTAGGAGTTGGGCTCAGCCCCTCAGTTCCAGTGAAAGGAACTCTTAATACTTCGACATACAAAGCTATTTTGTACCATTTCATACTCCTGACTTTTTTGGAACAGTTTGGGGACGGCCCCTTCCTGTTCCTGTTCCCTTCCTGCAACATGACTGCGCACCAGCGCATAAAGCCCAAAAAGACATGGATGAGAACTTGACTGCCCTGCACAGAGTCCTGACCTCAACCCCACAGAACACCTTTAGGATGAATTAGAGCGGAGACTGCAAGTCAGGTCTTCTCATATAACAGTGTCCGACCTCACAAATGATCTTCTGGAAGAAGAAACACTCCTAAACCTTTTCAAAAGCCTTCCCAGAAGAGTTGAAGCTGCAATAGGGTGGAGCAACAATATATTAAACCCTATGCATTAAGAAGCTCATATCCATGTGAAGGCAGACGTGTGAATACTTTTGGCAATATAGTGTATCCGACTGCATTCCCTTGTTTATCTTGGTAAAGAGCACAGCCAGTATGTTAGGAAGGAAAGCAACAGTGGTTAGTAACACTATGGAGAACTCAAATATGAACATAAGGTGGTAGCAGCATGGGAATGAATAAGCAAATGACAAATCTGTGAGTGGTTATGACATAAGGTAAGAGTGCCCTTGTCCTCTTTGTTATTCCTCGTGCTGTCCAGCAGGGGGCAGTGTCTCACCTGTGGAGTCCACCCTGTCTAGATGAGAGATGGGGGTGCAGGTGTGCGGGCGTGGGTACCCGCTGCCCTGGTGGTAGAGGTAGCTGCGTGTTGCCGACGACAGGCTGCCCATGTGATAATAGTGGTGATGGTTATCGAGGGAATGGATGGGGTGAGCGCTAATCACGGCTGTGAATGGAAATGGACATGAATACACGGACACACAAACACAACAAGATGTTTAACCAACTGGTGATGAGGATGATGACGATGAGATGTACACATGCAGTTTTCTGTGACACACACACACACACACACACACACACTTCAATATTCTCTGTCAGCTTAGTCACTAAACCAAAAAATCCCCAGAAACATTAACATGTCACGAGAAGCATGAAATGTTTTCTAATTAGACAACCACAAGGAACATTTGGAAGTTGTTAACTTAAGACTTTGTGTGCTCTAGTTTCATATTGTTTTGTGAGGAGTTTCCAAATCGACTGCACAAACACACACACACACACACGCACGCACACACTTACGCTGAGGCGGCTGCGCATCAAAAGGCATCATCATTTTAGGCCTCATCCCTCGTCGGCCTGCTAGTGTAGACATGCTGTCCTCTGATTCGTGGCCTAAAAGGTACGGTGGACACCAGCCAATCAGAAAGAGCTGCTACCCTATTGATTGTCGTTTTTTTTCCCCCCTTTTATTAACGATCCGTCTGATCTCAGGATCCTTAATCAATGCACTAATTGGGTTTTGATTGTATCTTTAAATGTCACAGTTACATTGAGTAGCTTTACTGTACTTGCAGAAACCTGCATCATGACGAGTAATGGGCAGCATGTATGAAAAGCATGAAATGTTTTGCATGATAATCACAGGAAAACAACAGAAATTGAACAGGTGTTGACTCATGACACAAAAACCTCTTCAGGACTCCTCCAGCAACCTCCTGAAAGCAAACCTGAGGATATTACCTCATTCCTACCTGAAAATCATCGTTTTTTTTAAGTCACACTCTTAAAATGTAGTTTTCTGTCTGCAGCCAAACTAGAGAGGTCTACTCAATGTTATTATGCATGTAAGCTCAGGCAGCAAGGGTGGCATTTCGCTTTGATCTCTTTTCCCAAAACATCACATTTTAAGTCTCCGCCTTGAGCAAGACTGACCACGGTAGGAGTTGCGCCTCTGCTGCAGGTGGGGGTTGCTCTCCAATCCGCTGTCAGCAGGGGTGATGTCCTGTGAGGTGCGGGGAATGGGGGTTTCAGTCATGACTGGATTGGGGTCTGGCGACTTGTCCATGGGTTTAAGCTCCAGCCTCTCGTGGTGAATCCAAAGATCGGGTGGCTTCAGGTCTTTGGAGTTCCCCTTGTATTTGTGAGAGCCGTTGGAAGATTTTGAGGCAGCCCGCTTTCTATCAGAGAGAACACAGAGCTGTTAGCGACAGCAGCAAAACAGTCAAAGATACTGGAGGGAGCTGATCTGTAGGTTAATAAAACAGAGTGAGAAGATCTATATTACAAAGAGACAGAAAGAGAGCATGCAATGTAAAAGCGGGACAGTGCGTCTTACTTTTTCTGGTGGGATGTGGTGCGCCGCGTGCACAGGAAAGCCCCCACTACCACCACTATGATGGTGAAGGCTCCCACTGAGATGATTATGACAATGACCAGGATATGATTTTCCCCATCTTTAATTCCTCGGCAAGAGAAAATCAAAGTTAGAGTGCAAACTTTTACGCATTAATGTCTGTATGAACTTCAACAGAAAAAAAAATTAAATGCAAGATCAGAATAAATAGTTTTAAATTTGTACTGAAACAAATATGAGGCTATAGTTACTTATAAGTCACGTCTAAGTGATAAATTATTAGTCTATGATCATTTCTAAGAGTTGGTTGAGTTACATTGTTCAGTCGTGGGGACACTTTTGGGAAACTTTGTCCAGGCTACAGCACGACTGTAGTGTCTGACAACATGACAACTGAGCATGAGCACTAAATAAGGCAGGAGGAATTATAATCTTACTTGGTGGAACAGGGTCCCGTGGAGGTTGGTTTCCTGAAGGTCCCATCTTTGGTGTGAGATTTGAGGCTGAATCAAGATAGGTGAAAAACAAAAAGTCATTCTAATGGTCTTTTCTATCACCACATAGAGCCTGTCAAATGTTTATTATCTTAAAAACTACACAAGCACAGTCACACGGACTAAGTTTTTCTTTCCTTCTTTCTTTCTTTTTTTTTTAAATTGGCGTAGAAGATGGTCCTTGGAAAAAGAGAAACATTAGGGGGTGCGGTCCAGCAGTGATAAAGTGTGGAGAGCGAGTTTACCTTGGTCATTAGCCATTTTGTCAGAGGACTCAGCTTAACAGGCCAAGGGAGAGCAGAGAGGGAGAGACAATAAAAAGCAAAAAAGTGGTTAGCTGAAAACAGCAGCGAGGGAGACAGAAATAAAGTGAGAGATGGGGATTGTGAGGAGGAGGAAGAGAGGGGCAAAACTATAGGAAGGAAAACCAGTAGGAAAACCAGACAGCAGCCAAACAGAGTATGCTAGAAACAACCAGACTGACATTAGAGGAAAGTATATTGAAAAACATATACAGAAGTTAAAACACACACTGATATATATAATACCTTCCTACAGTCAACACACACTGACTTTATGTCCTAAATATTAGCATTCTCTAAAAAGAGTGGATGCTTATGAAATATATTCAGCTTAAACCTAAATCAGCCGTAAGAAGCAGAAACAAACTGAACCTACAATATTCTTTACAACATTTGCTTAGCAGACTCATCAGTTAGCAGCCCAAGCCAAATTAATCAAGAAGGTTTGAAAAGCATCCTTGTTATAGCTCACGAGTTTCACGCAGCAATAGAAAAAGTGCTCAAAGGTGTTTGGAATAAAATGTATTTAAGCTTATATGATGTGTTGAATGTTCTATGGAAAAAATACATCTGTAATTTAAATCACATCACATAAATACGCCGGTGCAATCCGAGGACGGTCACGGTGTCTGAGAAAACAAAAATCTTGAAGGCCCATTTGTTGATTTTTAGACAGCTGAGGGCAGAATAACTCCACGACTAACCCAAAGCCCTGACATAACGGCAGCTATGGAAGCTGTGTACTGTGTATATGTTAGCCAAGAGCTGCCTATTTACACATGCATAAAGCTACGTGATGACTAAACATCTCACAGTCCTCATTTCTTTTTGTTAGAGAGCTTAAACGTCTATTTAACCGATGGACCTTTGACTTTGTTTAACAGTCTGTAAATGCTGCCATGTGAAAAACGTGCGTCACATAAACTTACTTTTTGGAGTGCGGAACTGCACGGGCTCAGACATGGGGCCCATGCCTTTTGAGTTTCGGGCCTGAATCTTGAAGTAGTAGGTGGTGTCCAGCGTTAGCTCCTGGATCTGGTGAGTCAGACGATTGCCCACCACTGGTTCGATAACCCAGTCGTGGACCACGGCGTTTACATCTGTACTGTAGTAGATGATATAGCCTACAAAAGAAGACGCCAAGAACAACGAGCAATTGTTTAAAATGTAGTTTTAAAGTAAGATCACGGATATTGTTTTTATTCTTAAGAGCCCCAACAGGAGAGCATGAGTGATGCATTTACATGCTTTTCTGAAAGATATCTACTTTTACAGAAAAAATATCAGGTCTGCAGCTGGGTGATCAGACAGCTCCCAGACATATTCACAATCTGCACATCAATTCTTCACCTAAATGTGAGTCCATTGCAGTGCAGAGATGCTACAAAATGGTCAAAATAATAAGTAGTGAGAAATCTGTGTGAAGGACAAGAGAGGCTTTGGGGCTCACCAGTGATTTTTCCATTGGCCTCAGAGGGAGGCTGCCAGTTGACAATTATGGTGCGTGGTTTGTTCTCTTTGCTCACCACAGTCACATCCTTCGGGGCGGAGCTGGGAGCTGTGACAGGGATGGAGACGAGACATTGTTCGAGCTGATGAGAAGGTTAAATAACACACATGCACATGTTCCTACTACTAACTTTCATTTCAGGATATAAATAAAATGTGGAAAGTTTTATGCTGATAGTATTC